TTAGTGGTCCAGGAAATGGTGCAATAGACTTTGTGATGACTACCTGGTTTGCCTGACCCGGTAGTGAATCCGGTGTGTCTGACCCGGTGGTTAACACGGTGTGCCTGACCCGGTGGTGAACACGGTGTGTCTGACCCGGTAGTGAACACGGTGTGCCTGACCCGGTGGTGAACACGGTGTGTCTGACCCGGTGGTGAACACGGTGTGTCTGACCCGGTGGTTAACACGGTGTGCCTGACCCGGTGGTGAACACGGTGTGTCTGACCCGGTGGTTAACACGGTGTGCCTGACCCGGTGGTGAACACGGTGTGTCTGACCCGGTGGTAAACACGGTTTGCCTGACCCGGTAGTGAACACGGTGTGTCTGACCCGGTGGTTAACACGGTGTGCCTGACCCGGTGGTGAACACGGTGTGTCTGACCCGGTGGTTAACACGGTGTGCCTGACCCGGTGGTGAACACGGTGTGTCTGACCCGGTGGTAAACACGGTTTGCCTGACCCGGTAGTGAACACGGTGTGTCTGACACGGTGGTTAACACGGTGTGCCTGACCCGGTGGTGAACACGGTGTGTCTGACCCGGTGGTTAACACGGTGTGCCTGACCCGGTGGTGAACACGGTGTGTCTGACCCGGTGGTTAACACGGTGTGCCTGACCCGGTGGTTAACACGGTGTGCCTGACCCGGCGGTGAACACGGTTTGTCTGACCCGGTGGTAAACACGGTTTGCCTGACCCGGTGGTGAACACGGTGTGCCTGACCATGGCCAAACTTTAGTTACTAGGCCTAGCTACTGACGTCATCAGCGGGACGTGACGTCACCGCCGCTGGCTAACGTTATGTTACTTTTTCACTCAGACGGTACCTGTTTTTTTTGTTTGTTCCCGGCCGTCCCCTGAGTACTAGCCCATAAAAAGTATAGCAGTAAGCTCATGGCTATTCAACAGTCAGCCCGCGGACCAAATTTGGCCCGCTGAGGCCTAGCGAGTGGCCCGCCGATCACTGCTGGTTGCAATGCAATAATGCTTTTTCTAAGCTGGGACTCGGACTGCTGGCCCATAACGATCCCTAATTTTACAATGTTGGCTTCTGAGTTAACCTAAATTGACTAAGTTGAACAGCCCTGGATATAGGTATTGACAATAAGACATGGAAACAAAACACAACAGAAACTACTGACATATTCACAATATGACATAGAAACTAAAAGCACAACAGAAACTACTTACCATGTAGCTGTCCAAATTGAAGTTACATAATCCGTGAAATCCATTACTGGGTGAATTTGGCCAGTTTTCTTTTCTTAGATGATTTATCCAGCAAGGATGTGTCGGTTTTGATTTTGCGGTAGTTATTTAGGAAAACATTTGCCAGAGATGGCAGCGCTTTGGAAGCAATGTTTATTTTAGAACAACCCTCAGCACAGACACCACCTATTTCATCCTTGAAATATGTTTGTAAACTGCATGAAACAATATGCATAAGCAATTTTTTGTGATGTTTGCAGGCTAGAAATTGTGTTTCCAACTCAGCTGATATAAGCTTCTGCATAGCTGCATATGTGACAAATGTTATTAAACATAAATTTTGAAGGGTATTTCAAACCTCCACGGTCAAGCAGCTGTATATAGTCTGTTGACATTGCACCTGAGTCAACATCATTTGATAATGGCCTGTCCATCTGCAATAAAGTCTTGCAGGCAGCACACCTAATTTTTTTGTTCAGCTTACTTGAGACAAATCCAGCAATATACACCAGTGACTCCTCTGAACCTTCCGAAACCAACAATTCACAGTCATTTGGGTTTATTTGAAAAAAAAAACCTTGTTCACGTCCAGCTGAACAGCATCAGTAATTATGTCATCCCCAGTTTCATCTTCTTTGCTGCTAAGAAATTCTGAGAGGTCACGGATAGGAAAATCTCCATAAGTCGATGAGGACATACTTAACAGTGAGTAAACTTTAAGTTTCTTTTCTGCTTCTAAAACTTGCTGCACAGATACTAGGTAGTTTGCTCCTGACAACTGCCGATATTCACCAAACCGAGCTTCTAAGTTGTCAGTCTGTAACTTTCCAAGAAGTATAAAACTAGCTTCTGTTGTTGCAAATAGATATTTGATTAGAGAAAGCACTGCAGTCACTGTATGCAGCAGTGCACTTTGTGTTTCCTTGGTCAGTTTTCCTTGACAGCCAGGCAGCTTGTCCCACTTTCTTAGCCATTCAGCAAAAACTGTTCAAGATAATGCACTTGTTCATCATCATTTGACAATACAGGATTTGAGAATGAGTTCAGTGTCTTTTTACCTACAAATTTACTTTTCACATTAACAATATGCCACCATCTAAGGATGGCTTCAATAAAATCTGCTGTTTCATTACTGCCTACTAGACGCAGAGCAGCAACATTGTATTCATTAAAAATTGCCAAAGCAAGAGGAACATTCTGTCTGTCCATGCTGGAGGGATAGATGGCTTTGTGGGAAAGTTTAGGTGCCAGTTTTGCAATATTCTTTTGCTCACTATAATACAGTTTCTTTAAATGAGAAAAGTTAGCTTCTGCAGCTCTATCAGTATCACAGGCGTTTAGCATTTGTCCAGTTATTAAAGGATAAGTAAATGTCTGGTTTGTGTCCTTCTGGTTGATCCAGTTCCTCCACATGCATTTTAGCAAGTGCACAGAATCATGCAGTAAAAATATTTTTTTATTAGCAAAATCTGGGTTCTCAATAAAAGTTTGGCTTGGTTTCAGGAGATCACTGTAAACTCTGCGATTGACAGCACTATTATCTGCAATTACAGCAACTACTGTGAAACCACACTCCTGTACAAAGTGGATACAGTGGAGTAATTTCAAACGTAGATCCTGAGATGTCATTCTGTTCACAGGTGAAAGCTCTATAATTTCCTGGTAGCTTCCAAAAACTGAAGATATGAGGAAAGCCTGCACTGTTGTTGCTGCTTTTCTTTTGCATTGTCTGCATTGCCAAATATTTTGCCCCCAGAGTAAGTAATTGCAGATTTAACATATATTTCATCCATCTAAACCACTACAATATTTTCTAGCTCTGTTAGTTTGTCTTGTTTCAATTTCAAGTGTTGTGAAATGCTGCCAGTATGAGTAGACAATGACAACTGTGAAGTTAAATTGTGCAGTGTTCTTTGATGAGGCAGGCACAACATACGAGATTTTCTTATAAACCGGTAGCATGCTGGAGATTTAATGAACAGCATGAAAGCTAAACATAATGTGCTACAACTGTAACGCCTTCTGTTTTTTAACACGGTTAAAAGTTGCAGCTGCTCTGCAAGAAAGTTTACTTGTGTGTCAGTTACTTCATCAGCTGTCCCATTAGGAGTCCACTGTTGCTCTGCAGCACTCTTCAAAATACTTCCTGCTTCTCCCACTAAATCTGTGAAGCTATTTTGGCTTTGAATTTTACTATAATCCCAGGCATTGTAATGAATTACAAGATTTTCAAGCTGTGACCATCTCACAAGTTTATTGTTGTCTACAATCCATTTAAGGTCTTTGTCCTTAACTTTTTTATTTTGAACAAAGACTTGTATAGTCATATCAAGTAACACCTTTATGCTGACACCTATGGATGGTGCAGAGTCTGACTGTATGGTAATGACATACAAAACAATACATGCTAAAGCTCCATCTACAGAAGTGTATTTCCAACTTTTTTCAAAGTGTCCTTTCAGTTTGTTTCCTATCTGTGACTCCAGATCTTGGAAATCTGTAATAATATCTGAGGACAGCCAATCATTGACTTTTTGATCATAATTACGATTAATATGTGATACACGTTCCTCTGGAGTTTTGCGAGAGGCAGGTACTTTCACCGATAAATAGGATGGAAGATCTGGAAAAATAGTTGGATAAGCATCTTTTTTAAAGCGGGATTCTTTCTTGGAAGTATATGCTCGATTCCTGATTTGTCTGTATACTTATCAGACACAATAATATCTGACGTACGAAAATGTTTTATACATACTACACTGGTTTTCCCAGGAGTCCAATTTTTCCGTGGAATATGTTTCAGCCATTTGTCTCTTAAAAAAGAATTCGAAGGGAATTTGAAGCAACTTACATATCCACTAGAAAGGTCATAATTTGAACGACACTCGGGTACAGAACATTTCGCAGGCATATTTCCTCGAAAACCAACACACTGACGATAAATCCAACGTAAATTGCAGAAATTGCTTACTAAATCTACTCCCTGAAATACCGCTTATAGGTGAATCAGACGTGAAAATTGAACCACATTAAAAACTTTCACAAGAAAAATAAAACTGAATACACACTGATACATCCATTTTGTTTGCCTCGGGAAGTGACGTCACCAGTCGAGTTTCAGGGCCTGTAATTTTCGAAGGCGTCGGCCTGACCCGGTGGTGAACACGGTTTGTCTGACCCGGTGGTAAACACGGTTTGCCTGACCCGGTGGTAAACACGGTTTGCCTGACCCGGTAGTGAACACTGTGTGCCTGACCCGGTGGTGAACACTGTGTGCCTGACCCGGTGGTGAACACGGTGTGCCTGACCCGGTGGTGAACACGGTGTGCCTGACCCGGTGGTGAACACGGCGTGCCTGACCCGGTAGTGAACACGGTGTGCCTGTACACGGTATACAACAGTAGCGACAAGTTACAAGACAATGGCTTAGTGGTTGTAATTTCTATCACACCTTTAACGTTTTTATTTGAAGTTTCTAAGTGTGTGTTTGTATGTATGCGCGTGTGTGTGTATGTATGTGTGTGTGAGAGAGAGAAGAGAGAGAGAGAGAGAGAGAGAGAGAGAGAGAGAGAGAGAGAGAGAGAGAGAGAGAGAGAGAGAGAGAGAGAGAGAGAGAGAGTGTGTGTTTACTACCGGGTCAATCACGCCGTGTTTTTTCTTGTGTGTTTCAGATTATTGTCAAGATATTGACCTCTATAAATACAGTTGTTTTCACATCTATTTGAGCTGTTTTTACTCTTTTTTGTTGTTGCCAGGTGACAAATTGCGGGCACCTGTCAAAAAGCACCCCGATCTGTCTCATGGATGGAAACGACCAACTGAACCCGCAGATAAGACAGTCGCTCCCCCCTGTACAGCTCCAAGGTATGTGTCTCTTGTCTTGAAATGTTTTCCGAACTAACATGCATCACCAGCAACGGATGGCCGTGGGGTTGGTGCGCTGGAGTCTCATGCCTAGGACCTGGTCTCGATTCTTGATAACCACCGTGTGGGTTCCAGGGATCCACTGTGGAGAGCAAGGATAGACCCGCTTACCGCCCCCCACCCCCTCTCCCAATTCCCACAACACACATACAGGCATCTTGTAAGAGACTAATAGAGCGGGTTTTTTAAAAGTCATAATGCATCTGCCTGAGAGGACAGCAACCATAAGTCAGCATACAAATAAGTCGGATCTGTAAAACAGATGTGCAAACAAAACTCAAATTTTAGTTTCAGAGAAAAAAAAAAAAAAAACCTCCACACAGAAGTGGAGAGCAACGATCAGTTTCAGCCGAAGTATTCAGCGAATGAACTATAAGAAGAAGAGGAAGATCCTTTGCCAGTAATGGAGATTTTTTTTTGGGGGGGGGGGGGGGGGGGGGGGGAGGGGGGGAAGGGGGGGGGGGGGTTGTGTGGGGTGGCGAAAACAAAACAAGGATGAGAGTAAGAATAAGTAGGAGAACAAGGATAAGAGCAAGGATGAGAGTAAGAATAAGTAGGAGAACAAGGATGAGAGCAAGGATGATAGTAAGAATAAGTAGGAGAACAAGGATGAGAGTAAAAATAAGTAGAAGAACAAGGATGAGAGTAAGAATAAGTAGGAGAACAAGGATGAGAGTAAGAATAAGTAGGAGAACAAGGATGAGAGTAAGAATAAGTAGAAGAACAAGGATGAAAGTAAGAATAAGTGGAAGAACGAGGATGAGAGCAAGAATAAGTAGAAGAAGAACAAGGATGAGAACAAGGATGTTAGTAAGAATAAGTAGGAGAACAAGGATGAGAGTAAAAATAAGTAGGAGAACAAGGATGAGAGTAAGAATAAGTAGGAGAACAAGGATAAGAGTAAGAATAAGTAGAAGAACAAGGATGAGAGTAAGAATAAGTAGGAGAACAAGGATGAGAGTAAGAATAAGTAGGAGAACAAGGATGAGAGTAAGAATAAGTAGAAGAACAAGGATGAGAGTGAGAATAAGTAGAAGAACAAGGATGAGAGTAAGAATAAGTAGGAGAACACGGATGAGAGTAAGAATAAGTAGGAGAACAAGGATGAGAACAAGGATGAGAGTAAGAATAAGAAGAAGAACAAGGATGAGAACAAGAATGAGAGTAAGAATAAGGAGAACAAGAATGAGAGTAGGCATAAAAATAGAACAAGAATGAGAATAAAAATACAAAGATGAACATGAATGAGAATAAGAACGAGAAGGAGATCAAAGGCAAGAAGAACAAGTAGTAGCAATGTTACTGTACATGCAGTCATATTTTATAGACGAATCGTTACTGGATAGGTATTTCTCTCATTATTACACTGGCCACCTTTACTTCCTAGTAATGGTATCCTTTTTAGATTGGGTCGTCCTGGGGTTTACTGTTTTATATTTATAACGAATCCTATTGGAGACTGAGACCGCTGACCCAGTAGGAGACTGTCCAGCTGCAACGGCTGGCTCTGAAGTTGCAGAAGTAAATGATGATGATGATGATGATGACGACTATGATGATAATAAAATAAAGAACCCTTTTCACGCCTCTAGGCGTATTGGGCACATAGGACTAGACTCGTATATTTTGTAAACCTATCGGCACTCGGTGGGTGATGTATTCAATACTACACCGGCCGACTTTACTTACCAGAACCTTACTTGGTACCCATTTGACCGTTGGTCCACCTGGAAGTCCATTTCATAAAAAAGTACTTTTCCAACATGACTTGAATCCACGACCTTCAGATGAGCAGGCTATCTTCTTACCGTAGTAGTAGTAGTAGTAGTAGTAGTAGTAGTAGTAGTAGTAGTAGTAGAAGTAGTAGTAGTAGTAGAAGCAGTAGTGGTGGTAGTAGTTGTAGTAGTAGTAGTAGTAGTTGTAGTAGTAGTAGTAAAAGTAGTAGTAGTAGTAGTATTAGTAGTATTCGTAGTAGTAGCAGTAGTAGTGGTAGCAGTAGAGTAGTAGTAGTAGTAGTAGTAGTAGTAGTAGTAGTAGTAGTAGTAGTAGTAGTAGTAGTAGTAGTAGTAGTAGTAGTAGTAGTGGTAGCAGTAGTAGTATTTGGAGGAGTAGTAGTAAAAATATTAATACTAATAACTATAATACGATGTTGGGGGGGGGGGGGGGGAGAACGATGTTGAGACGAATAAACAATTTAGACTGGCATGTTCATAGTCAACATCTGAAACTTTTTGCAAGACTGACTAGACATCTTAAACAGATCTACAATTTACAATAGTTAGGCACACAAACTGTTAACAAAACTTTCTTTCACCAGAATAATTACCAAAAAATACATGCAGTAAGTAAGCATAATGTGTACCCACATTAATATCGTACACAATATAATAATAAGATGCAAGATCAATACAAATGCAAATGATCAGTTGATATAATAAGCTAAAAACAGATAGACGCAGTTTTCTAACAATTAGGAATGTATGTGGCCGAAAATGCGGAAGTCGATCTTCGAAGCCCACTTCTTGCATTCAGATTTGGTCAGGGTGATGTATCACCGCCGTGTGTACTCATAACCACAATGAACAGAATTTTACTGATGTCACAGGAGATGTGATTATCTATACATGTGGCTCTGTTTTGAGAGGCAGACGAAGTGCATAGGGGTTTATAGCAAAAGCGAATGAACGTCTCGTGGTGCAGCAAAAACTGGCATCTGATGTCACAACGACTAGTTTGAGAATGGAGGTGGAGGCAGTCAATGCTACATTCCGCTAGATCGAGAATCAGCTGTACACACATGCCGTTATTTTAATTGACTCACAGAGCGTGCTAAAAAAGGCGGAGACAGACATACTCCGCGCAGAGTGGCAGGCGTCACTTCAGAGGTCCAGGGTAGCTAGTGTCCTTTGGATATTGTTTCCATGTAACGCCGGTGTTTTGGGAAACAAGTAGACAGACTGGCTGTTTCTGCGTCACTTGGTTATGAATTGATGAATGACAAGCTAGATGTTGGGTGGGCAACAACGTCAGAGCATTCAAAATAAGCCGTTAATTTCATTACAACAAGCTCAGAGCAATTTGCCCCAGAGACGGTCCGTTTTACTATTCCCGCCATACACCTTCCCGGGTGCTTTTCAGTCGTCACCCACGTACTGGCCTTATGGTTGCTAACTGGGCCCCAACCAACAGTGTCTGATACAAGCTCTTTCTCGAGCTCTCGCAACTTACACCATAACTGTGGTGGCTCTGCACGGCTCTGGATAACGTGGGGGGGGGGGGGGGGGGGGGGGGGGGGGGACAGACCATGTCACCACACTGAGTCGCCTGAATACAGAACCCATGACATTATCATGATCGTGTCTTTTACTGACTAAGCTCCTTTTCAAACCATCTCGCTAATATGGTAAAGATCCCTTTTCACACCTTTGGCGCATCGGGCATATGGGAAGAGCGGCCCATATTTTTACAGACCAATCGGCACTGGGTGGGTAATTTGGTCAGCATTACGCCAGCCTTCTTTACTTCCCCAGGACAGCCATCCTGGTACCCATTTTAGATTACTAATTGAGTGGACAGTACTGCAGCCAACTAACACTAATCGTACTAAATTATCTCTACAGAAAACAAAGTTAAAAACTACGCATTTCTAGTAACACTCAAATTATAACACTGCCACAACTGTTGAAAACACGTCTTCGTCACTGTACATGTCTCTGCCACAACTGTTGAAAACACGTCTTCGTCACTGTACATGTCTCTGCCACAACTGTTGAAAACACGTCTTCGTCACTGTACATGTCTCTGCCACAACTGTTGAAAACACGTCTTCGTCACTGCACATGTCTCTGCCACAACTGTTGAAAACACGTCTTCGTCACTGTACATGTCTCTGCCACAACTGTTGAAAACACGTCTTCGTCACTGTACATGTCTCTGCCACAACTGTTGAAAACACGTCTTCGTCACTGTACATGTCTCTGCCACAACTGTTGAAAACACGTCTTCGTCACTGCACATGTCTCTGCCACAACTGTTGAAAACACGTCTTCGTCACTGTACATGTCTCTGAGCCAACTCCTTGAAAAAGCTTCGATCTGTACATTTTGTTTGTTGCACTTTTTACAGTGCAGTTTGTCAACTTTCCATGAATTCCTGAGTCTTCACTCGTCTGTCACGATATCCTTGTGGGAAACTCTTGTGGACTGTTGAACTCGTAGTCGCTAAGCGGTCATCTAAGTGCTAGTCCGTCATTCACTATCATCACACAGGTTATTGACAGTTAACGACAACACGAAGCTATGCAGACGAAAACCCGTTTCGGCGACTCGATTTTATCCTCTCCCCACTTCTCTGTCGTGTTTCATTTACGTCAGCAAGTTAACGCCTTATGTGCTGGGAAAATGTATTTATATTTGCTTTTTGAGTTAAATTAAAATATATTTTATTCACTTAAGATAACTTTATCCTTTTCTTCAATGAATGTGAGGGTTTATGTTTTTTAAAATGGTCATTTTCTTTTCTGAAAATCCACTGCCCCCCCCCCCCCCCCCCCTTTTCCACACGTGGAACATGACACACACACACACTTACACATACATATTTATATGTACGCACACATATATTAGTGTATTTATAAATACATATTTTTATGTACACACACACTTACACACACACATACATATTTATATGTACACACACATATATAAGTGTATTAATAAATACATATTTTTTGTACACACATACACACACATACATATATATATATATATGTGTCACCATATTATATATATATATATATTATATATATATATATATATATATATATATATATATATTATATATATATATATATATATATAAATATATACCGTGTGGATTTGTAGAAGGAAAAGGCAAACATACTGCCATTTACATCCTCAGGACTCATTCGACTGTGTGAAACTTGAAGAAATAATCTAACTACTGGAGAAGTTAATCGTTGATACAACAGATTTACGAATTATAAATCTATCTGTTGCCAGCAAACAACAGCTATAAGAGTTAATAACCATTTGGGACATTTTAGAGCATAAAGAGGGAAGTACGACAAAGATGTGTACTATCACCTGATTTATTTTCATTTTCACAGTCAATATATAATGAGATCTATCATGGGTATGCCAGGAATTGTGGTTGGTGGGTATAACATAAACAACCTGTGTTTTTCCGATGGCACAGTCTTGATATCGACATGTCTGCAAGAACTGGAAATGAATTGATAGATACGCTGGTGGTTGAAAGTGATAAAATGCGCCTCAGTTTGAATAATAGGAAGACAAAAGAAATGGTGATTTCTAGGAAAAGGAATAGTGCCTATATGTATAATAAAAGTCAAAGGCTTTAACTTTGGAGAAGCACATACATGTATGTATCTAGGTACATGGAGAACATCTGATGCAACATGTATCACAGAGATAAAAAAAAAAAAAAATAGAATAGGACAGGCCTAAACTGCCTTTTATAAAACGAAAAACATGTTAAGCAATAAATCCATGTCTTTGAAGGTTAGGAAAGAAATTCTTACATGATAAAAATAGCACATTTTAACACACATTTTAATTTGTGAATCCTTGACACAAAATAAACAAGCCACACAATTTCTGGAGGCCTCATAGATCTGGTTTTACTGAAGAATCATTATAATTCCTTGAACAGCCAAGAAGAGCAACCCATTTGTTTTGAAAGAGGCGAGTGCTCGAAAAGCTGTGTCCCTAAGTAAATATCGTTCTTCATGATGGCCCAAAGTTACCAGCTGTGTGTTTTGTTACTATTCCCAGTTCTACCAAATTCGAGGTGCATAGACAAGATACAGGTCGACTGGTCAACACGGCTTCCATCGAGAGTCGCCCGTGGTTGGGGAAAACTGGAGCCAAGGCATTCCTGCTTCAGAAGGTAAGTGGCTGGTGTGTGGCAAAGTGAATGTGTGGGAGAGTGGATGTTTGGGAGAGTGGATGTGTGAGAGAGTGGATGTGTGGAAGAGTGGATGTGTGGGAGAGTGGATGTATGGGAGAGGATGTGTGGGAGAGTGGATGTGTGGGAGAGTGGATGTGTGGGAGAGTGGATGTGTGTGAGAGTGGATGTTTGGGAGAGTGAGTGTTTGGGAAAGTGGATGTGTGGGAGAGTGGATGTTTGGGAGAGTGAGTGTTTGGGAGAGTGGATGTGTGGGAGAGTGGATGTGTGGGAGAGTGGATATGTGGGAGAGTGGATGTGTGGGAGAGTGGATGTTTGGGAGAGTGAGTGTTTGGGAGAGTGGATGTGTGGGAGAGTGGATGTGTGGGAGAGTGGATGTGTGGGAGAGTGGATGTGTGGGAGAGTGGATGTGTGGGAGAGTGGATGTATGGGAGAGGATGTGTGGGAGAGTGGATGTGTGGGAGAGTGGATGTGTGGGAGAGTGAGTGTTTGGGAGAGTGGATGTGTGGGAGAGTGGATGTTTGGGAGACGGAATGTTTAGGTAAATGGTGGTGGGAGAATGATTGTTTGGAAGAGTAGGTGTGTGGGTGAAGAGATGTCTGGGGAAGTGGGTGTGTGGGGGACTAATTGTATGGGAGAGAACAACATTCGGACAAGCATAAACATCCTCATCTGCAAAACTCAGTGGCGACAACGCTACCCCAGCGGCCTTGTTCCCACTATAATTGATACGAAAATCAACTTGAGTGAGCGACTGTGTTCACTGATCTTCGAATGGAAAGAAAACTTTCAGTACCATGGTAAAAACGATCTTAATGTCTGTGCTGTCTCTTTACTGAAGGTTGACTACCATGTACCACTGCTGTCTTTAGGAATATTACCTGGTAATGCCCACATGTCTTCCACGGTGCATCTCTCGTGCTACTTTCTGAAAACCACAAGAAATTTTTTAAACCATTCGCCGCTGGAAACAAACCCTTGTACTCGAGGATTATTGGCAAACCGCATTCCCCAACCTTTGAGCCACGTTAGACAAACATTACTTATTTCTTCACTTTGTTTGAGCACGTAATTGCATTTTGATCATTTATAGCATGGTGTGTGTGTTTGTGTGTGTGTATATATATATATATATATATATGGCAGGGTGACACAAACCCATACACTCACACACTTACATCCCCACATCTGGATAGACAGACAAACAGACAGACAAACAGATAGATAGACAAACAGATAGATAGACAGACAGTAAGTCAGACAGACAGAGAGACAGAAAGGAAGAAAGAGAAAGAACGAACTAACAGACAAACTTTATTATTAAGAGGTCACGCAGGCTCATCTTACATTCGACCCTTCCAAACAATTATCTTTCATATCGCAACTGTAATTTATCAATAAAGCAATGTTTTGTACCTATAACATTACATATATTCTGAATTTAAAAACACAAAAACTATTAGAGACAGAATGAATTACGGATGTGCAAACTTACGGTCTCACAGACAGATATACATGCAGACAAGCAGACAGAGAAACCCACTCAACGTTTCGCATTAAAATAATCGCCAGATTTCTTCCGCGAGAATTTCTAAGGTGATTTATTTTAAGTAATTTTTTTTTGGGTCCGCCTGGCCTCACATCTTAGAAAGCCAACCAAACATGGCCAAACTGAATATTTTCTGAAACGATTTTAGGTTCATAAAGGGCAATCAGGCAAGCTCGGTAAGCATCCCTGGTCATGACGCGGAAAATTGAAATCTGAAATGCCTGAAATCGGATAATTATGTTAGAGGGGCGGATAATTGGAAATTGGAAGGTTGTGGTTATGGGAAGGTAATTTTATTTCTTTTGCTTTAGCCTATGTAATATCTTCTTCTTCTTCGCGTTCGGTTTCGTATGCTCAGACCTGACCATCAGGTGGGTTGCCTCTATGAACTCGAATGTCAGTAGCAGGTCCTTCATGGTCTCCCATAGCTTGCTCTGTTCACTTGCTCTAGAGGCCAGGTGTCTTTTCGAAGTTGCAGGTAGAGCGGGCAGGTCTGCAGAATGTGCTCAGGTGTTTGTGGTCCTGTTTGACAGGTTTTGACAGGCACATTGTGGAGACTGTACACATTTTTTTTAATGCATGTAGGAGTTGAACCTACAGTGTCCTGTTCGTAGACATACAATTGAATGTTGCTTTCTGTTGAGTTTGCTGATGGGGTCTTGTGGATGTTTACTGTTAGTTTGTTCTCTCCACAATTCCTTGTATTTTTCCGTAATAAGTGTTCTGATTTCTGGTAAAGGCATACGTAGTATGAATTTATAAATAGATGGAAATGAACACAAATTGGTGTACAGCCGCGAGCCTATGTTAACGTCCATGAATAAGCACAATTACAGCAGTACCTCAGTACACGTCCGCTTTCTAATAAGTCAAGTTTGGTGTATGTCCTGTTTAGACGTTTGGTACACGACCTTTGTTTGGAATACGACTCGCGCATTTGAACTAGTGAGCTTCAACCAGGTCCAGGTAAGGAAGAAAGACAGAAACGAGACACACACAAAAACTTACACCACATTTTCTCACTCCTAAACTTTGTGTGTGTGTGTGTGGGGGGGGGGGAAGGGAGGAGAGGGGGGTGGCGCTCTCTTTCCAAACAGTAATATCTCCTCCTCCTCTTCTCACCCCCCTTTCTATCACCATCAAAGCAGCCTTTTGACTCTTCCAGGCAAGGTAATGAGAGACTGAATTTGTATTTATTACATCTAATTTTGTTTACGTGTGTTGGTATTTGGAAGTGTTCACATTTTTTAAAATAACAATAGGATTTTATTTTCGCGGATAAACAATGTCCCTGTATTTCTCATGCAAAAAGTGTTTTGGTATACGTCCTGTTTGGTATACATCATGTCTGGTATACGTCCTGTTTGGTATACGACGTGATTGGTATAGGTTCTGTGTGGTATGCGTCTCGTTTAATAAACGTGGTGTCTGATATACGTCTTGTTTAGTACACATCCTGTTTGGTATACGGCCTGTTTAGTATCCGTCCTTTTTGGTTTCAGTCATTTAAGGTATACGTGCTGTTGGGTTTTCGTCCTGTTTGGTATACGTCATGTTTGGTATACGTCATGTTTGGTATACGTCCTGTTTGGAATAAGCTCAGGGATGTGGAATAGATTAAGGATGTATACCGAGGTAGCACTGTAGCGTAACACTCCTCCTGCCCTCACTTCCTGGTACTTCACTGCTGTCAGATTCAAACGAAATTGTCTCGATAATTTTCTGCAAGGTGTACATAGAGTTGTCGTTTGATAGACATTGCAAGATTTGTGAGGGAGAGAGTGCGCAGGATGAGTGTGAGAGAGGGGAAGCGAAATGTGTATGTGAGAGAGGGGTGTAGTGTGATATGTGTGTGTGTGTGTGTGTGTGTGTGTGAGAGAGAGAGAGAGAGAGAGAGAGAGAGAGAGAGAGAGAGAGAGAAAGAGAGAGATGTAAAAATCAGTACTAAAGCTAAGCGACAGTTACGTTGTTACTTCAGAAAAAAAACGCAGACTTGAATTTTACGTCATTCGAAACTAAAGATACAAACTCTTTTAAAATTAAATTTAAAGAAAAAATGCATACCACAAGTGTATATTGAAAATGTCTCACAGATGCCATAAGTTAGGAACCGACATCACTGCTCTCAGGATATTACACCACACGATCCGTCCTCATCTTCAGCAGCTAGCTTTCATATCGGTCCTATTGTATCTTGAACTTGTGTCATCTACTTCCTTTAAAGAATAAGAAGAAGAGGAAAAAGAAAGAAAGAAAGAAAGAAAGAAAGAAAGAAAGAAAGAAAGAAAGAAAGAAAGAAAGAAAGAAAGAAAGAAAGAAAGAAAGAAAGAAAGAAAGAAAGAAAGAAAGAAAGAAGAAGAACAACAACAACAACAACAACAACAACAACAACAACAACAACAACAACAACAACAACAACATCAATAACAACAACAATGACAATAAAAAGTATGATGACGAAGGAAAGGACCTGATGTTTAAAAAAAAAAAAAAAAACATGAGGACGAAGCAAACGACAGTGGAAACATTATAAACGAGAGAAAAATAACATAAGACAATCTTTCATCTAATGTTTTCTACATTTCCTGTCTGCAACATTGCGTTCCCAACCTCGTATCTCTACAGTCTTATCTATTGTACGCTTGGGAATTCACACTGTATGGGGTGGGAAAAATAGAATTGTGAGTCCTTGAGGCAAGGTCACTGGGAATGTTCGATCCATGCGCCTTCTTTTTCTATTGACAGTGCCAGTAATCACTTGCTGGCTTGTATAAAGTCGTTTGTCGTCCTTAGTTCTATGATTGTTTAAAGTGAGGTACTACTATCTCGTGTTTTGGTACTAGAAACAGCCAAATATTGCTTCCTTTCGCCGCAAAAGTTGTGTTTACGTATAAATGCACCGAGACAGTGTAAAGCAGAACTACGATGTTCGTGTATATCAACTGACACCTTCGACTGAACATATCGATTTTTCTTTCCCTCTCGGTTTGCTGCCTACACGCGCGCTCATATTCATTCATTCATTCATTCATTCATTCATTCATTCATTCATTCATTCATTCATTCATTCATTCATTCATTCATTCATTCATTCAATCATTCATTCATTTATTCAAACATTCATTATCCCGTTGTGCCATTTTTTGTTACACACGGCTTGCAATTTATTTCTCTATTCCGTTGTATCCTGCGCAATGAAGTCAATATCATCGATAGAATCAGATGCAGCAGCTTCGATCTCTCTCGTCAACGTTCGTCTTATGTTTGTGTGTGTGTGTGTGTGTGTGTGTGTGTGTGTGTGTGTGGTGAGGGCTGTTGCCGGGGGGGGGGGGGAGGGGAGGGGGGGGGGCGGTGTGAGGAGGGTGAGGTGGGTGGAGGGGCGTCCTCACCCCGCCCCAATCTCGTCATTTCCTATTTCTATGCCTGTTTGATA